CCTCGCCTCCACTTCCTTCGCCTCCTCCCCCGGTTGTTTTACCCCAATCTCCGCCACCACGGTTTACTCTCCACCTCCACCACCACCTCCAGTGTTGTCACCGCCACCGCCCCGCCCCACCACCAGTTACTCGCCACCGCACACCGCCCCAGTTTACTCACCGCCCCCACCACCACCACCACCTCCGCCCCGCCACCTCCCACCTCGCCTCACCACATCACCACACCTCCTCCTCAAGTCATCACCACCCCGCCGGTTACTCGCACCCCCACATCACCCGCCTCCACACATCGCCCTATTGCGTGCGGCCCCCTCACCTCCGCCACCAATTCACCCCCACCACCGGTTCCATTGAGCTCTCCACCTCCACCTTCTCCTTACATGTACTATCACCCCACCTCCACACTGCCTCCACCTCCGCATTCACCGCATTCACCGCCACACCGCATTCACCGCCACCACCAATATATGTCTATCCATCACCGCCACCTCCTGGACATTCCCCACCTCCCCCGGTCCTCTCACCACCACCACCAGCACCACTTTGTATAGAACCACCCCCTCCACCTTCCCCACCACCACCATGTATTGAATACTCACCTCCCCCGCCACCTCCTCCCATTGTTTACTTGCCGCCACCTTCACCCTCACCCCCACCACCACCTCCTGTCTATTCTTCTCCACCTCCACCAGTGTACCAGTCCCCTCCCCCACCATCCCCTTCACCGCCTCCCCCTGTAGTCCAATACCAATCACCACCACCGCCAACACCTGTTCACTACAATTCCCCACCACCACCATCCCCATCACCCCCAATTCCATGTGAAACCCCGCCACCTCATCCATCACCCCCACCAGTTCACCATCTTTCGCCACCGGTTCACTACAGTTCTCCACCACCACCAATTGTTTATGAAAGCCCGCCGCCTCCCACTCCTGTATATGAGGGCCCATTGCCACCCATCTTTGGAGTTTCGTACGCGTCTCCTCCGCCGCCACCCTTCTATTGATTCTTTTGAGAATTTTCTCCTCCTCTAACCTTTCCCAGAGCACAATCACCAAAAACTCAACAGTCCTCGTTCACATTCACGGCTTCTTCTCTCCCCCACACCATCATTTCTCTCTCTTTCGGGCAATTCTCATCGCTCGTGCAGAGTTAGAAAAGCAAAAAAAAAAAAAAGCATAAAAGTTTGAGTTTGTATGCAATTCTTGTTGTCAATCACCCATTTCGGCATCGATGAACAAATGTCTGAAGAAACAGAGAAGAAGAAGAGGTGAAAGCATAGAGATGTAATATCAGTATAGAGAGAGAGAGAGGTAAGAGGAGAAAGAAAGTCTCTCCCATATTTATTTGAAATTGTTATGGATTATCCATTTGATGAGTTGTGGAGAATAAAAATGGCAGAGAAAGAGTAGGTTGCAGAGAATGTGTATGTATAGGAGATGCATTTCGGAGACCATAGTTCACGCCACAAACACAGCGGCACCACCTCCTTCCGCCGCTGCTGGTTTTGTGGTGGGTTTTATTGTTATTCTCTATTTTTTTTATCATACTTTTGTTTCTTCTCAATTTCCAAACTTTATAGTATAATCATGAACATTTTTACTTGTATTATTAAGTTTCAGAGTTCGTCTCTTTCGGGTTCGCTTCTGATTTCCATTTACTTCTGTTTGTGTTATGAGCTTGTAATCTGCATGCTATGTTATTTGTTCTTCACTTTCAGTCCTCCATTTGCTTGATCGAATACAAGTGAGAAAACGGGGCTGTAATTGATTTTCGATGACCGTATCGATCATTAAGCAAATGCAAGACTCTGTTGCTGATTGTTTGCGTCGTTCAGATTCTGGGAATTGGAACTGGATTGACGAGGAGGAATCCATGTTCATTGCAGCATCAGTGTTTGACAATGACACAATCACGTAGAAGCGGGATCCCGTTACGTTACGCAGGATCGGGCACAGCAGGCCGATTGGCAATCAGCTGGCCAAGTACGATCTTGATCCTGCAAAACGGGAATCCGCATCATATTTATTTAATAGTCAAGGTGGTAGGTCATGTCCGGCTGGAGGGCCCTTGATTTTCGATCGAGACTGGAGGTCCCAATTGGCAATGTGAAATCATGAATTGCCGGACGGTGCCCTGAAAGTCTCATTGATTTGGTGCGGCATTCAATTTCTCATCTGATTTTTTTTATTAGTTAAATAGTTGGTTGGGATTGCTATCATCATCTTTCATGTGGGCTTCCCGAATATCATATCAAATTCGGATTTTGAAATTTCGAATTCGAAACCTCCCTTATTCCTTCACTCTCACACTCCTCAATTCCTCCTCCGTTGGAATTTGAAACATTTCATGCTTTTGATCATGAAAAAAAGGCTTTGAAATGGGCCATCCTTTTAGGGTCGGGATTCTCTCCTGATCTCTTCCATCCGGATCCTTCAATTGCGTGCGTTCTTTGATGGGTGCTGGCTCCGACTGCCGACCCACCACGCCAATTGTCGTCTTTCGGCTTCAGTGGTCCAAAACTGGAACCGGAAAAAGCAAAAATAAAAAAGTAGTTAATTGATTCCTGACCCTTCGATATTCGGTTGAATAGGTCGAATAGACACGATTAAAAGATCATGAAGGTCGATATCAAAGGGATCCGGAGAGTATCCATCCGGATCCTTTTGTCTTTTTACTACTGAATTCCTTCATCATCACGAATTGGTGTTTGTCGGTGTTGACTGTTGTCACTAATGCTTTACTCTTTTTCTCTTTTAAAATCTTGAGCAAATCCTCTTTCTCCTTTCCTGTTGTAACTTGTAACTTCACCTTTCATAGCTCCTTTTTGTTTTTCTGTCCCTCACTTTTTTTACCTGAATCCTGGACCGGATCTCTGTTTCTCCGGGACGGGGGTGGTTGGTCGGGTCTCGGTCCCGACCCGCTCGGTTATCATCGATCAAAGATTCAATAGAGAAACATTTTGGTGGAGACTCTTCATGGCACGATGCGTGGCTGGCATTGTCAATAACATTTGTCACGTTTTAGTTGACAATACCTACCACATACATTACGTCACGTGGTAAAGAAGTCCTACCTAAGTTTTTCTCGACTCCATCTTGGACGAAGAGATTATTAGGCAAGGCTGCCGCGTAGGGCATATATTCTCTCTCTCTCTCTGATGGTTGGATGGACATAAATAGGAGCACTTGATGGGCGATGACCAAATGGCCAACTTCTCATGTGCTGTAAATTGTTCCGCAGCGGCCTGTCTTTCATTGCTTCCCTCTAAACTTTAAGTCCATGCAGTACCAAATCGAGCCAAACTCATAATTCGTGTCTAGACCCTGTCAAGTACCACCCGCCCCCAAATATTTGCCAATTGGCTTTCATTTGTGTATGTGCAGAAGAAGATGCTGCCCTTGCATTTTGAAAGAGAACTGATTTTCACGCACCCCTTTTAGCATTTTATTCACTACTATTTAATACTAGTCATTAATTCAATTTGATTTATTCTATTAGATGACCATAAATAAAGAGGAGTGTTTGAGAATCGAAAAAGAGTTTGTGAAAATCATTTTCCCTTTGAAAATCACATTCCAAAACCCATACCATGTTTTTTTTTGAGATTTACTTCTGAAATGGCTAAAATTGTTTTTTAACGGTAAAAAACACTTAATTAAATTTGGCATAGTCAAGTGCTTCTTTAAGAAGTATTATCAAGAGATCCGGACCACTTATTTTAAATTTTGTTACCCTATTAATCTATTTCATTTGTTCACTCCACACAAATTAAGAATTCAAATCTCTCTTCAACCGCTTAGGCCTGGTTTGGTACTGAAGTGATTCTGAAACAAAACTGGTATAACAAAAGCTGGGAGTTTTTTTGTGTTTGGTAAATATTCAGTTTCAGCTTTTTTCACAGTTTTGGGTGAAAAAAAGCCAAAAACAAGAAGCTGCAAAACTCAGCTTTGAAAACCGGTTTTTTTCATATCTGTTTTACATAAAAGTTTACCAAACACTATAATACTGTTTTTTTTTTCAAAAGCATTTTTACAAAAAAGTTTACCAAACACTCTACAGCTTTATTTCACAACCGTTTATTCTCACAGCACAGCAAAAACAATTTTTTTCAAAGCACAGCAATACCAAACCAATCCTAAATCTTATAATATTAAACATCCAGACGTAGAAATTCGAAGAACATCTCAATTCATTCCACTTGTGGTTTTCTAGTCCTCTGTGGAAAACAAGATGCAAAAATATCCAATCAAGGGATGGTGATGTAACGTTTTGTAGAAATGGGGCCTCCCTCGATAAACCCCCCACATGTGATGTTAGCACTTTTTTCACCATTATTTTTATCATGAAAAAAATTGTAAAATTGATTAATTTAACAAGTTGGTTGACTTGTTTTCTTACCTGAATTAGGACATAACTGCCATTTAATATTGGACCTCTTTCGACAGCGTGAAATTAGGTCATACATATAAATGGCATCGGGTCAGAATTTACATTTACACTTCAAATAGTCATCATGTACTTCTTCATCTTTTAGTAGTGTTTATTAAATGCTATTGAATTAGTGTTATTTGTCTTTACCAGTGATTAAAATATCGGCGTAAGTAGAAATATCGATATACAAACTTATGCAAATATCGATATGCAGATTTATGAAAATATTGATAAATAGATCGATATTGGTTGCATTTGATGAAAATGATAAAAATTGGGTCAAGAACGTGGAAATTTTAAATGAAGCTTTAAAGAATGTCAACCACTGGTTTAGACGAATACAAAAGTTTTTTCAAAATTTAACCGACAAGTCAGAAATATTGATAAAATCTATTGAATTTACCCGAAATTAAGAGTTTCTAACTTCACTCCCATTCTATATCTTTTTCTAATTTTTTAATTTTTACGGAAAGATCGACCGTATCAAATAAATTTTAGTAGTAATTATATCTAAGGCTCATGTGAAGGTGTTCTGCTCCTTTTTAGGCTTTCATCATTTTGTATTAATAAGTCCATTAGTTTGATGATACAAAAGCAACATTCACATATGCATACAAACAAAAAGGATTAACAAAGAAAAAGTAAAAAGGAAACATAACATGGGTGCCATTAACATATGAACATTACATCATATAATAATTTTAATATATACGGCTTTTTTATTTCTTCCTAATAAAACAATTGATTGCCTTTAAAAAGGGTATTTGGGAAACAATATATTTGCAAATGGCCGGCAAATTGCAGGCAGTTGATGGTGTGCATCATCTACTTAATTTAGTGGATGTTTTGATTAGCTTGGAACCACTTCCACAAAACATGTCTTACATTATAAAAGTCAACGAGTCAACCACTACAGGATGGTTCAGTAGTTGGGACGAATTGCAAGTTTGTATTCTACCCGACATATTCAGAATTCGATTCCTGGCACTGATAAATCACACAATGGTGATGAGGAAGATGTTGAAATGCCTTTGTGAGTCTTTCCGACCCTTGAAAAAGTAGATTGACGTAGCGAAATCATTAACTAGTCTCTTTATTTTAAAAAAAAAAAAAGAAAAAAAAAGAAAAGAAAAGTTGACGAGTCATTTTTTATTAAAATTAATTTTAAGAAGCTGGCTTATTAATTTAGCTTCGTACAATAGAACTGGCTCAATAATTGAATGTTGCAGGTTATAAATATCATTTACTTTCGTTGTGTCGTTTTAACTTCGAATCTCACTCCCTGCTAAGTAATAAAAATTAACACATGATACTTTAATACAGTGGTGGAAAGTATTCATGCATGTCCATTTTCAGTTACTTTCGTTGTGTCGTCTTAACTTCTAAATCTCACTCCCTGCTAAGTAATAAAAATTAGCACATGACACTTTAAGGCAGTGACGGAAAGTATTCATGCATGTCCATTTTGGTGGGATCTCAATCTCTAGCAATTCTTTTTTTTTTTTTTTTTAACAACTAACTATTTAATTCAACAACGTTATCTATCTACTAAAATTAATTTTAAAAAATGAAGTTGGCTTTTGCCATCGGTTACGAAAACGGGCCTAAGTGATTCAATGGGCTGGGAACTTATCGTAAAACCAATAGCAATGGATGTGGGCCAAAACCATTGTGATGGAAAAGCTTTGGGCTTCATTGCACTAGCCTACGAATGGTTTAGAATTCTTTCTTTTGGGCTTCACCAAACTTTTCTTCAACCAAAAATAAAAATTTTTATTTAAGGAAAAGACACGAATTACCCATTTACTTAACTTTATTTAACAATAAGGACAAAAAATTCAAACATAATATAAGACCCATGTGCGCGTTTTACCTTGTGTATGTAGCTAAAGCTTTGGCTCCGAGGGATGCACTTTGGATTGCAAAAGGAAGCAGTTACAAGAACGTGTGTGTTGAAGGTGATTCCAAATTAGTAATGTATGCAATTAAAGGCTCTTGCTCAACTCTTTGATGATTGAAAAACATCATCAAAGACATTAAGTGGTCGACGACTTTCTTTGACTCTATTTGTTGAAATCATGTGCTTACGGAAGCAAATTTCTGGCCGAATGCAGTTGCTAGCATTGGTTTTCGTTTTAGTAATTTTCAAATTTGAGAATGAAGAAAAAATTTCTCTGATTGTATTGAAATTGATTGTAATCGTGGACGATGTCTTATCATTTTATTTTATTAAGAAAAATTAATAAAATCCATCTCTCCTGTGAATGGTGTTTAAAGTTAGGAGCACGTGCATGCAGGGATCCATACATAAAAGAAGAACGTTCCAGTCAGAGAATGCATGAGAGATCCCTTCTTTAAGGGGTGTGATATTCACACATCATTTTTTTACTTCTTACACATTCCTTATTGATTACTGTCATTTGTTCTTCTTCAATTCATTCGATCTGACGGTCGAAAATTAAGAAGGTGTGCGAGAAGTAAAAAGATGTGTGTGGATAGCACACCCCCTTCTTTAATTTGTCTCTTTCCCATTTCTTTTTTTCTTCCTTTTCTTTTATCCTTTTAATTATATATATATATATATATATATATATATATATTTGTTCTCTTTACATTTTATATGGTGCTCCGCCGAATTGAAAAGTGAATTTTATAATATTCATCTGTCATGGAAAAAAGAAGAAAAAATTTGTAATTTATCTCTATATTCTATTTATATTTTATTAGATGTTATGGACCGTCTGATCCGAAAATTTTGAAGTGTCCATATTAGTTTAGCAGATGTTTAATTTGACGAAGACAAGATTCTTAGGAAAAAATATTTATTGGTGATTATCAAACCCTTGCAATGCGATTGATTTAATTTAATTGGATAAAAGCATTCATATGGATTTTATATATGTGCAAGCTGTGTGATTAATTAGGGTTACAAAAAATATGAACAAGGAATAAATTGTCCGGATAGATAAGATTTTCTCTTCAACTCATTGGGTTTTAGTTCGAACCTTCAATTGCTCGTTAGTGTAACTTAGAATAATTGTGATTTGTGACTAATATAATCAACAATATTCTTTTTGGTTAGAGTACACCAACAACAACCAAGTATTACACTGCTTTTTTTGCTTTGAGCCTCTGTCTTATGGTCCCTTCCTCTAATCGAAGCATTTGTAGGTATTATGTTCACGTGTTCGAATCACCTTAACTAATTTTCTCTCATTTTATCTTCAATAGCGGACTACCCTATTGTACCTTAGATATCCTCGTTCTTAATGCTGTTCTTTTTCGTGCGACCATACGACCAACGAAGCATTTAGTTAGACCATTATAAGAATTAAAATAAATTAAAATATTGTGAGTTTGTTGTGATTCCAAAGAGATGATTTAGGAGGATGGATTTCTACGCAATATAAGTATAGACGAAAATAAAATATGGTTTCATTTTAAATGTAAAGCTGATATCATAGCATCGTGGCCTCCATTATCATTACTTAAAAAAAAACATGTTTATGTTAAGCATGTATCAAATACTGATTTTGGCGTGAGGTTGTTGGGTTGTTTTGTTCATCATTAGTTTCCCCAAAGCTTATCACGCCTAATAATATTCGAGGACATGAAACATGCTCTTAATCGAGTCTTGATATGTTGTCCAATTTGCCAGATTCTCAAAGCTGGTTTTCTCTTTTAGTTGTAAGCCCCTTTTATCAATACAATTTCGTTCCTTCCTAAAAAAGAAAAATTTACATACTCGTAATCGAATTCCAATTTGTGCTAGGTTTCCTAATTGACGAGGAAGCCCACTAGTGATTATATTCAAGTAGAGTTGTTGCGCTCGTTTACATGTACCAACGAGTAATTAAGAAAATTTTACGTTTCAAGAAGTTAGGGAGAGAAAATACTGAAAATAAAGTGTGCTTTAAAATACCTGAACTTTTGGATTGTTGTTGCTTCTGGACGAAAAACACATAGTCGAAGTACGTTAGTTCTTGGCTTATTTCTCTGTCTTAAGTCTTAACCTTGCTTATTTTGTTGGGTTGTTTGTTTTCCGCATTAACCGGCTTCACATAAGCAACAGTTAATCATGAAGAGTGCATTTACAAATCACTATCACCAATCATTACATTTTTTCGTTTGATTGATTAGGTAAAAACCGTAAAATAATAGTAAAATAAACCTTGAAAGAAACGACGAGAAGCGGAGACAGTTAGCTTACGGCGGGAAAAAGGAAGAAAAAGCAAACGTCCCAAAGCAAAGCAAAAACCTCCTCAAAAGCAATCTCTCTCTCCTCTCTCTTTCTCTCTCTCAACAAAATAAAACAGAGCTGCCTCTCTCTCTGTGTTTTGTCGTAAAAAATCTGAGACATAGAGAGAGAAACTGTCTCAGACTCTCAGAGGTTTAGAGAGAGAGAGAGAGAGACTCTCGAAGCTCCCAACTCACTGCTTGATTCCTCCATTTGTGCATTGCCCCATTTGCCACTTCATCTCTCAGGTACCCTCCAAAGTAATATTTAATTTCTACAGTTTTTTATCGACATTTATTTATTTTCAGTTTTATTTCTTTGAATTTTAGATGGTAAAGATTGGATCTTTCTGTGTGTTGGAGTTGATATTGATCTGGGTTCTGTTCGTTTCTGCTCAAAAATCCAAAATTTTGATTCTTTCATCACATTTTTTTTCTTTGTTCATATAATTGCAATAGAACTGAGAACCCCTTCCAAGTTTTAAAACTGTTCCGGTGATCACAGGGCTCAAATGCTGGATTTTGTGTTTGGTTGCTGAGAAACCGAAGGAAAACAAAATTGAAGCATATACATATAATCATATAAACATCTACATTAGACATGTATTTTCACTAACTTTTTTGTCTTGTTTGTCATATTTCTCAACCACCCAGCAAAGAGTAAAGTCACTTTTTTCTTAATAATTACATATATTTTTTCCCGTAAGTTTTGACGCAACGAAAATGTTGTTCCTTATAAAGATTACGGGCTCGAATTGTAAACAGTCTACAATAAAACTTCTCCCAATTCTCACAAATCAGGGAGCTCTGTTGAGTTGGCGTCCTCCTTTAATTATATTTTTTTCCTGGCCCTTTTTTCTACTTTGCCTTCTTGGATTGTCTTCCTATTGTGCTCTTTGGAGACAGGCTAAAGCAAAAAATGTGCAGATTTATATCAGATTAGTCATGAAGAGTCAAATTACGAGTTGACCCATCTAATACCAAAACATAACTCTCCATAAGTAGCTATTTCTTTAGCATAAATTTACCAAAAAATGTACAGAATTTGAGGGTATAATCGTCATAAGAGCAAAATTGCAGAATTCAGTGGAAGATACTCGGGCACGGAGCACGCTTGCAGTTGAGGAAATGCTCTCCTAATTAATAATATAAAACACTAAAAATTAAATAAAAAATAAAAATCTGAAAGCTTTGGAGCTGTGGACTACCACGTCATCCTCCCCAGGAAGTGGAATTTTTCTGTCAAATATTGTAATGTGTGCACTTGAGTGGGTCCCACCATTGTGCTCTAGAACTCTCAAGTAGATCCATTTGGCATGCCTTTTTAATGCTTATTCTACTGTATTTGATTCTAGTCAAGCTCCATAAGTTAGGAGAGAACATGATACGATATTTCAATACGATTATTATACTGTCACGCAGAATTATTAATTTATTCATTTTATAACATATATTTCAAGTCGTTGATAGGTTAATTATGTTGGTTATTGTTCACTCATATTATAACACGTATATTAATAACATTACGTGATAGTATGACCGTCGTAATTAGAATTGTCCAACAATATGCTTAGCTCTCTGTCGTTGATAGGTTAATTATGTTGGTTACTGTTCACTCATATTATAACACGTATATTAATAACATTACGTGATAGTGTGACCGTCGTAATTAGAATTGTCCAACAATATGCTTAGCTCTCTATCATCAACAATGGTATTGATGTTGTCGTACAATGCACGTTTCTGTCGTTATAACCCACCCAACCGAAAGGCATCCGAGTTATTGTGGTGATCATTTTCTTTATGATCTTGAGAATGTTTTATTTCCATGTGCAAACCAAGTTAACCACCACCTCAAGGATAATGCTTTATCCCACTTTTGTTTTGAGTGGTGTCATCCACACACTATTTTTTACTTTTGGACGCATTTCTTATCAATTTATGTCCTTTAATCCTTTTTTTTTTAATCGGACTGCCAAAAATTGAGAGGGTTGTTGAAGATAAAAAAGAGTGTATTGATAACACCACCCTTTGTTTTTTGTTTTTTGTTTTTTTTTTTCTTAACAAAGGCGACATCTATTGCATGAAATTTGACTCCTTTGACTGTTTTATTTACCTACTTTGCGCCCAAAGTTCCTTCTTTTGGGCAGAAAATTTTGACCGACAAAAGTATGGCAGGATAGTGATTTGTTATTTTGGTTCACCTTTCAGCTAAATATAAATAGAGAAGATGGGTTTTGCCCAAAATTAAAAAGATTTGCATACCCTTCGCATATTCTTGGGAATAAGATTACATTTTGGTGCACATCTTGTCATATATAGAAGATGGGTTTGGTTTGTCACTTTTTGTAAAAAAGAATGCATTTTTTTGGGTTGCGGCAGTAGAAGAACTTACATAGAATAGGTTCACTGCCAATGTAAGTTGGTCTCCTGGGACAGATTCTATCACCAACCCAACCCATGTTGTTAAATACCAAATCAGATTTGAGCCCATCATTTTGATTTGTTAGTTTTGACTATTTGGTAACTGTATGTATAGATCTCCTATGAAATGCATGTGATTCTGTCCCACCTATGCAGGGGAAGAGAGAGAAAGTCTGACAGAGAGAGAAGCCCCGCTGGTTTTCTTTTGCTGCATTGTTCTGAATCTGTTTGATGAAGAAAAAAGCTTGAAGAAGTGTTGAATGGAGTAGAAATGGAGGAGGGTGGATCAGCAGGAAACTATCTGAGGAGTGGACTCAAAGTCAAGGTTGATTCATGGTTCAGCCAATTTCGCAATGGTTCGAATCCATGGATGGCCAGATATGTCTACGGATTCATGTTTTTGATAGCAAATCTTATGGCATGGGGTGTCCGGGATTACGGAAGAAATGTGTTGACGGAGATGGAGAGTAAGATTTGCTTTCTCTCCTCTATTCTACTTGCTTATGAACACATTGTTATAGATTCGATAAACGCACTTAGCATCTTAAACGAGTGTGTTAATCAACACATTATTAGTGCAGAATGTTTAAAACCTTTGGCTGTGAGTGCAGGATTAAAAGGATGTCATGGTGTGAAGGATTGTTTGGGTGCAGAAGGAGTCCTACGTGTAAGCTTGGGTTGCTTTGTATCCTTTTTTCTGTTTTGTTCTTCGTGGCTTGGCCTGAACTGGACTATTTCGATTGATGAGACGAGGTTTGTCGTGTAGTACACTAAATTCTGAGAAGTTTTTTGAAAAAATGGCAACACTATTCACTATTGTTTATGCATCTGAATTCGAGGAAGTGAATGCTTTTCCAAATTTCTTGTAAAAACATTGATTCTTCTACATCACTCTTGGACTTTCATATGATTTTTCTAGCTCTCTAAGTGTTGATCAAAGTAAAGTAAAACCTTAATATATACTTCATCAGTTGTTTTATATCACAATGTTTCTTTCCACTGCTGGCACATCGAAGTTGAATGAACCCAGAGATTCGTGGCAATCCGGATGGTGGTCTGCCAAGATTGTCATGTGGATTTCCTTCATCATCATTCCCTTTCTGCTTCCTGCCACAATCATTCAGCTATATGGTTAGTGTACTGTCATTCCATCAAACCAAAACTGTTTTCTTTTTCTTCTTTTTTCCGCTTTTAAATTGCACTTTCTTTTCGTCCACCTGATACAAATCTTTTTGCAGGAGAGATTGCGCATTTTGGTGCCGGGTATGATTCGATGCTGTTACATTTATTCGCTATGTACTTTCTTTTCCCCTTTCGAAATGTGTTTCTTGGGTATTCTTATAACAAGTTTTGGGATTGTTTTATCAGGGTTTTTCTCTTGATTCAGCTAATAAGCATAATCAGTTTCATTACGTGGCTGAACGATTGTTGTCAGTCTACCAAATCAGAAAGATGGTAAGACTTTGTTCAAGCTAAATCGGGTTGCCATTTTTTGTGGACTTTGGAAACAAATTCGATGTAGCTACTAGCCATAGCGTTACTCAGGCTGATTTAACTTTAGGTTTGCACTGCAGCCGGATTCATGTGATGTTACTTGCAACTGCTGCATATGTTGTATGCTTAGTGGGGATCATATTGATGTACATATGGTATGCACCGGAACCAACTTGCCTCCTCAACATCTTTTTCATAACCTGGACATTAGTACTCCTACAACTCATGACCAGTGTCTCTCTCCACCCGAAAGTAAGTTCTGCTAATCACCCTGCATTCAGGGGCTTCAGCCTTGTTTTAATGTGAGTTTGCTTGTTAAATTCCACCCCGAACAGGTGAATGCTGGCATCTTGACTCCGGGTCTCATGGGCCTTTATATAGTATTCATCTGCTGGTTTGCTATTAGAAGGTACGGTTTTAAGTCTCTTCTGTGTGAACCACCGTTAGTGCAATTTGAGATTTTGCAGATGTTATCCGGCATTGATGCATAATCTTTCAAAATCAATCATCCAGTTGATCACTAGCTTCGAATGAAAATCTAAACGTGTGACTCTGGTATATTTGTGAATTCCGTTGATCCATAATTGTTGCTTTCGAGTGCAGTGAGCCAGCGGGGACAAGCTGCAACAAGAAAGAAGGCAGAGATGATTCAACCAAAAACAGATTGGCTCACCATCATAGTAATACTCTACTCTTAATATTGCACACAGATATCTCTTTTCTCTACACGAAATCATGACAATGACTTATTTGTTGACAGAGCTTTGTTATAGCCGTGCTTGCAATGGTTATCGCAACATTCTCAACCGGCATAGATTCCAAATGCTTTCAGGTTTGCTCTACCGTCTGAATAACTTTTAATCAATCATCTATGTTTCCTTTAGAATGAGCCTGACATCATCTGCAGTTCAGGAAGGACGAGACTGAATCCGAGGATGATGTTCCATATGGTTATGGATTCTTCCACTTTGTTTTTGCCACGGGAGCAATGTACTTTGGAATGCTGCTGATTGGTTGGAATACTCATCAATCCATGAGAAGGTATTTTTCACCACCTTGTTTGTGAATTAAAACTGAACTCCGTTCTTTCTTGCTTGCTCAACAAGTCACTTCATTCTGCAGGTTTACGATTGATGTGGGATGGGCCAGCACTTGGGTGAGGATTGTGAACGAGTGGATCGCGGTCTGCGTGTATTGTGAGTATATAACGCTAAACAAAATTGAATGCGCTCTAACTAAAATCTCGTCATGACTAAAAGGAAAATTTTGTGTTGTTGCAGTATGGATGCTAGTTGCTCCAATCATATGGGAAAGCATATAAACGGTGCAATCCGCTTAAGTTTATGTTTACATCTTGCCACATTCATCCGTTGTACATATGGGAGTGTCCAAGCCTCGCCCTCGAGGATCAAAACTCTTTGCATACTCCGAGAAGAGCCTCCTCAGGCCTCCATGGGCAGCAGCGCTGCTGGCACTTAACACCGGTGAACTGACTGCAACTTCCGGTTCGTAATGTGTGAAGATTAAGGAGGGAAAGAAAAATACACACCAGTTAAGCATTTTAAGTCTTCCTATCCAGTACCATAGAGTGTTGTGAATTCATAACACTTTCTTCTCCATATGTAATCATTGTAGTGTGAGCAAATGTGGTTTAGAAGAATCTTAGCATGTCATTATTTGTTATATTATTGAAATAGCAAATATATTGTGGGTCCTTGGAAGTGTTTCTATTATCTTTTTTAAGTTTGTGATTGGTGGTTTAAATGTGGGGTGTGATATCCACACACCTCTTTTTACTTTTCCCACACTTTTGTAGTTTTTAGCTGTCAGATCAGATGAATTGGAGAAGATCAACGAACATAAATTAACAAGGGGTGTGTGAGAAGTAAAAATGAGTGTGTGGATAGCACACCCCTTAAATATTTGGCATGTGTTCAAGCGATATTATACTTACAGGCAAGACGGATGTACATTGGGATCAAGGTGGTCCCATGATCCGAGAAATATACATGTGAAGGTTTTCTGAGGACTCTCCAAACGTTTAGTATGGGTCCCTTTTGTGTCTACCAGGTGTTTGTTTGATGAAATATATGCTAGGCATTATCTCGACTGGTTGTGTCGACAACACTCTACAAATTCTCTCGATATCACTCATCGGCTTTCTTCAGCATATGTCGATATCTGTTGACATGTGTGCAATATAGTTTGTTTGACGACAAAACGCCTCAGTGAATAAAGTGATACAATTTTTGCATAAAATGATACAATTTTTGCAAGCATGTTCTGTTTCTATCTAAAAAACTTCTACTTTAAAATTGGGACCATACAAAGTTCAAATCTAAATCCACCATTGCTTACAGAGAGGAGAGTTAAACTTGAGTACAAAAAGATACAAGATGTCCTAAACCAATATGGCTAAGCCTGATTTCTATGAAGATCGTATACGCATCGGAGATCGACGAGAAGAAGGGCTCTGTACACATCAAAGCAGGCTACCAAGAGGTCGTTTGTGTCATTCAAAAGTATTAGCAAATTGCCAATTGGTCCGTATGGTCTTAATTAGCTATTCTGACTTCAAACTTACATTGTACGAGTACACTGCTAAAACAATATCTTATGCTGATGATACATGTGTAAACTCCTCTAAATGTATATTCGTACGGCATATCATAATAGTGTACTCACGATATATAAATTGTTCTACAGTTCTTCTCTACGAGTCCGCAAAACGATGCTTTTAATTACCAAATAATTAACAGAAAAACCAAATAATATTTGTCCACCTAAATTTGAAGCTTTGTAACTTGGAAGCCAAGAAGCCAAAAGAAAAGCCTAAAGCTGCAACATTACTGGAAATTAAGAACCAAAGGCAAAACTGTAAAATCACGTATCGGAAAATAATCTCCACTCGGTCGATCGATGATCGTTTTAACATACAAAATTGGGTGGGGCACCATCACTAGTGGAAACTAAAACCGTAGTAGAAGCTTATGAACACATCAGTCGAGAGTGAAAGGGAAGTGGAGAAAATTTACGAGATATTCTATTGAGCAATCCATCATTTCTGAGTCTTGAAACGAGCTTTTTAATCATAACAGGAAAAACTTTACGATCTTACAAACAATTTCGTCTACAGTTTTGGGGAATCCAATAGAAGACTAACTATTTTTTGATTGTGCAAACGAGTTCATCGACTGCAAAGATAGTAGAAAAGGTAATCCAAACCTTCTGCTAACATATCAGGGCAAGTCAAGAATAATGAAAAAGTAGTGGAAACCATATATTGACTGGCTTCTTGAGGTTATCACTGATTTTCAAACCTTAAAAGTAAATTCCTGGAATATGTGGTGGAAGTAGGCCCAATATTTTTGCGAATACGAGTAGTATTTGTCAAATATTTTGATGAATGTCTTATATGGCTGCTTGTAATGTTGAAATGTTTCTAGATGCAATATATCTCCAAAATTCAAAACAACTAAAAAAGGTCGTACCCAGTGCACAAGGCTCCCGCTTTACGCAGGGTCTGGGAGAGGTGAATGTCGGCTAGCCTTACCCCCATTTATGAAGAGGCTGCTCCCAAGTCTCGAACCCGAGACCTACCGCTAATTCAAAACAACTAATTGAAAAAAATCATAGGAATCTGAAGTATGAAATATGTACTTGTCTTCATTATCTAATCGGGAAAGCAAAAAACACAAGAGGTGTTTGATGAACTGATTGTGATATGGCTTACATATGTAATGATAAGCGTGATGATGATATGCATCACCATCTTGATTGTGCCTCACCATAGAACCTAGCTGGATGTGGGTCAAAAACATAACCACCTTTGCCCGAAATCAAATTACGCACATTTTCCTTCATAGGTTTGTCCCATACTAGATTAACCCCTATTCTATTCAATGTATAAGAAGCAAACGTAGAGGTATAAGATCCCACTAAATTTATATCAACTTCAACTCTATCCCCGCCTTGCAAACTGAGCTTATCGTTCGATAATTGTCCCTGCCAAATATGATGGGATTCAGGTTTGTAGAATATTCTATTCCGATGTTCTTTGATTATGCTGGTCCGCAATTCGGTACGCTTAGTATAATTTATTACAGTAATGACAATTGTAGGAGGACGAACTGATATATTGCAGGAGTACGAGCATAATAGAGTCAGCCCTTCAAAATTACGACCATCGCTCGAGGGGATATCAAAACTGACTTTACTGCCATGATCATTGACAAACTCAAACCAATCGGGAACATAATTCCCAGGGAAGAAAACGCCACCAAATCCGCAAGAAGTCCATCCCTACATATACAATGCAAGTGTCATATATATACATGTGCGTTTGTGTGTGCATGTGCATGATAGGAAGGCAATGAGAGAGAGATATACCTGTAAGATGTTCTTCTTAAAATCAACTGTGAGATTAGTGCACCCTTGCATATCAATCCTTACCACGGAATTTAATGACTTATCCAAGCCTGGAACCTCAGTGAGTTTGAGTGAATCACTTACATTCAGTTTTCTCATATTTGACATTTCTGAAAAATCCGGCATTGTTTCCAATGCAGGGCAATCAACGGCATACATAGAACTCAAACTTGTTGGTAATCCCAAGATTGTATGAAGATTTTTGCATGAAGTTAACCACAATATTTCAAGCTCTGAAAGACCACTGAGGCTGGGTAGGGTATGAAAATCATTCTCACGAAGATACAAGTATTGTAAGGAACTTAGACTCCAGAGATCCTTCGGGATTTCATCTTCAGTTAAATCACACCATGCGAGATTCACACTCCTTAAAGAGTTTAAGCCGTGTAACGAATAGGGCAAACGAATTTTTTTCACATTTCCTAGGGATAAACGAGCGAGATTCTTCAATCTTACTATGGAAGGTGGTATGTGTCTTATGGATGTACTATCTACTTCAAGTATTCTCAATGATATCATCTCCCCTAAATCCTCATGCAGTTCTCTGAATTTATCACATAAATTAAGATGAAGAATCTCAACAGATTTCGACTTATAGAAATCCCTCGGAAGAGAACTAAGACTGGAACAGTTTCTAAGGTTTACCAAAGAGAGTCTTTCGAGATGACCAATGGAGGGGTGAATCTCGGACAAACTGTCACAGCCTTCCAATATTAACTCTTCAAGATTTGGGAGCTCTGAAAAGTCTGGCGATTTAATTAGGGAAAGGGAGCAACTGAGATTCATGATTTTCAACTTCTGAAGCGACTGTGGCACAAAACCAAAGAAAAATTGAAATTAATATCGAAAAAGAAGTTCTCATAAAAAAAGAGAAGGAAATCCAAAAACAAATAGAAACAGAACATCATCATGTGTAATTGATTGTACCTTGGAACCCTCCCAAACTTGTACCAGTTTACTCCACTGCATGTCTAGAACAACTAGTTTTGGTTGATTAAAAAAATCATCTGGTATGGACTTTAAAGGACATCCTTTCCAGCACAACCATATTAACTCTTTGGGAAGATGTTTGTATTCTCCATTGAGCTCTACGTAGCGGAGCTTAAGCAATCTCAGTTTCTTCATTTTGGCAAATGCTACTGTACTGAAACTAGCCGTATCAGAGCTTTGCAAATCTAGACTTAGTCCTTCAATTTTTCTAGTTCCCTGTTAAAAAAAAAAAAAAAAAAGAAGTTATACTTACAAAAAAATCATACAAACTTAACATTTCATATTCGGAAAGGTAATGCTAGGACACCAAATTTTTTAACTAAATTTGCTAACCAAATGATGTGTCACAAATAAGAACAAGCATGTTAATCAACACTTAATTAATTAATTCAATAATCTACAACCATATCATACAAATTTCAATTTTTCATGTTCCCCTTTTGAACATCATATAATTTTCATATTTAGAACCGTTCAATTTCTTAATCTTTGAATATCATCCTTACAAAAACATCATTTGAATCAGGGATTGTTTAATCTAGTCATTCAAATTTATCAAATAAATAGACGATTTATTATTAATATGTCACTTGATACCTACATCATTGATTTATTTGATATATTTGACTAAACGATCTTCGATTATGAAATTTGCAAGTGAGGGAATGAGTTCATCACCCAAGAAGGAATTGCAAGTATTATTGATTAGGCAAAATCATGTGGGTGAATATATGCAAGTACTATTGTTGGCTAATGGAGCTCTCCTTGTGCAACTACAGATACACATGAATGATGTTTAATGTATAATAGACATACGTGGTTTATATATGTATTAATCCAAAATTATATTGGGAATGTACTTACAGATTTATTTGTCAATACGTCGGTGACATCTTGAGGATTCCACAACCTACTCCATTTTTCAGGGTGGCCAGGGGATTTTTCAAAAATGATTACTTTGGCCATTTCTCGAAGCAAATCATGCACATTCAACTCATTGCGTTCAACAGTTACAAGGCATCGTTCACAAAGAACACTGATTCCTATTGTTGCAAAAAATCCACATGCATCTAATACTTTTGCGACATAGTCCTTCTTCCATCCAATAAAGAAACAAGATATGTCAAGGAATATGGCCTTCTGTGTATCATCGAGCCCTTCAAAGCTTATTCTTAGTGGTTTTATTATTTTTCCATGAGGAGTTCTTTCCAATTTCTCCAATTGACTTTCCCACTCTCCTATGGTTCTTTTAATAAAAAAAGAACCTAAAATTTCAAGTGCTAGCGGCAAACCTCCACAGTAAGAAACAA